CTTCAAACACAGGCTAAGTAGCTCTACCTAGTAACCTCTGAAACTGATGAAAGCAAAGAGGCCAGCTTGACACCCGACGCCCAACGCCAGTTTCTGAGGAGGCCAAACCGTTACCGAGGCAAAGTCAGGAACATATTGACTTTACGGTACCTAAAGTAATTCACTTCATGGACTGTTTGGGGAACGAGCCGAACGACCATCGAGCAGAACTTGCACTAATTAATGCATTTGCATAAAAAGATGCGTCAAGGTCCAATGGTTGGCTTCCACGATAGCATCGGCAGGCTCATTACGACTGATTTCATGCCTGATCAGCCGCTTCCGCTGCAGCTGAACAAAGCTGGTGGGCGCCGGTTTGAACCATTCGAAAGTTACTTAAATTGGGGAGGTTGGGATTTCACATGGCAGCCAATGGAAGAAAGGTTACAACTTGCATGAGATGATGAGCCCCTCAAACAGCCGTGGCCCCGTTGGCCAACTGCGTATCTCTATCTCACTTAGGTCTGAGGACTTGATGCGCTTGTCACCCTTTCCTTTCATCGGCCAATCTTGATAGAATACAGGCAATGTGTGGTGGTGCAGTTCGGCACTTTCAAAATACAATCCTTATCATCTTTCGAGTTCCGTCAACCAGACGGACAGCCAGTTGGTGAAATGACAAAACGAGTGGTTGGGGATATGTACTGTGTGGTAGCGCTCAAAATACCTGGAAGCTGGTCCCCGCCCCCTGATTAAACATGGTGCTTATGTGGCGTTCAAGAGGAATTGTGACTGGACAGTCCTTTGTTTTGTTGTTTTGCTAACAAACGACGGCTCTTCCAATTGCCAGGAACGGAGCACTGGTACAGGGAGGCAGATGGAGAGAGCTTTAAGATGAATGTGAAGGCAGGGGAAGATTTTCGAACCCCCAGGTTTTCGAAATGACGGGGTGCCGCTCATCACAGTGACTCAAGCTCAATGGATGCGGAGCGGTGACGGATGCAATGTCCCATCTCTCTCGTATGGGGTTGTGTTCCACTTTCTATTATTATTACTGTTGATGTTGGGAGTTGGCACTTGGGAGCCATCAGAGCATGGGCCCTTCGGATACGTCCAAGGACGAGAGAAGATCGGAGCTGGAAGAGGAATTGCGTGGAACAGGATGGGCGGATAGCTGTGCAACCTGTGCTGACGACGCGGACAGCAAGCTAGGTAGCTAGGCACTTCGTGACTGGCTGAAGCTAAGGACTGACTAGTTCAGATAAGGCAAAGAGCTTCGAGAGCTTCAATGGCTGGCTGAATGTCTCTGGCTGAGACGCAGGAGGAAGGGATAAAAGTGGCACTCCGAGGCCAAGACGGGGCTGCAATGATCAAAGTGGGTGGGGAGCACTACAACACACGGGTTTAGGTCAAGGGCTTATACTCGATTTGGTAAGAGGTAAATAGAACGACATACTAACCCCCTGACAAGTAAACAAGACGAGTGGTAAACAAGCAATCGGCGACAACAACCCAGAGACAATCGACACGCCCCATGGGGGTGAGAGAGCGAGGTAAAACGATAGAGAGGGCAAAAGTGCGTGAAAAAGGGCTGGGTCACTGCGACAGAACAGGACAGAACGGATCAACAGGACACAGCGCTGCCGAGGGAGCAACACAACGCTCAGTTTGGCTCAAGTCGTCCAATCCTGCCCCCGTCTTCAAAAGCCCAGTTTCGTTCTGCGTCCTGTTCGGTCCCTCTTCTCCTCCTACTCCCTCCAATTATCGCCATCCACATCAACTTCGTCAAAACAAAACCTCACCCAGACAAGAAGAAAAGAACGACTGAAGGCCCTCGCTCGCCATCTACCGATTCTTTTCCATTCTCTTCGACTTTTGTTTCTAGGAACAAGAGCCAGAGAACTTCTTGTCTTCCTTTCGAATTTCGGAAGGTTGTATGAGAAGCTTCTCTCGCGCCATCAAAAGTCGCAAATCTGGACTTTGAGGCTCGCGTCCCCGTTCCCTTTAGCATCTTCCCATCGACATATCGGGAATCCGAATCCCATACCCAGACCGTTACCGAAACAAAAACCCACGAAGAGGTTGAGATCAAACCCCAACAGCCCCAAGCCGGACGGGAAGGTCAATACTCTTCTGTCTCTGTCACCGCCGAACAGGTTCCTCCTCGCGGAGAGCAACGCTTTAGCGAAGAAGAGGTCCGTATTACGCGTGAAGAAGAACGTTACCGCCGTCCCGGTGTCCAAAAATTCGAGCACGAAGAAGAGCACTTTACTATCCGTGAAGACTCGCGACGGTATGTCCGATTTTACAACTTCCTCGGCCCCCCTGGTTTTGTTTGATATTACACGTTTTCTCCCTATTTGCCGACCGTATGAGACGAGTCCGCAATGGCCTGCGAAATGATAGCTCTCCAGGACAGGGCAGTTCTCTCTCTCTCACCCAAGTTGATCAGATGGAACATGTCAAAGCATGTCTTCGATCACTTGTGACGGTAGCAATTGTCGTTCCCTCCCCCCCTGAGCATTTCCTCCGCAGTCCGATTTTCACTTTCGCTTTCCCTCAACTCGGCTGGCCATAACCCACTCATCACAGGCGCTTCGGCCCCTTGAGTTTCCCCCCAGCCATCTCAATTCATCACATCACATCTCACCACACACCGTCTCACCACACACCCCTACCCATGTAGGCTACCGCGCCAACCACTTCAGCTTGGCTGGGTACCCAATTTGCTTTTGCTTCACATCCCCGGTCCACTAGTGCGCTTAAGCCTTCTGGCCTGAGCAAGGCGGTGGAGTTACCTCAGGGGCCGCCCGCCTCCCGTTGCCATATGATACGCAAGCGAGATACTATAGACATCCATCAGCTAACCCAGACAAATCCAGACCTGAACCTCCCTCTCAATACCAACCCTCTCAGTACCAACCACCTTCCCACTACCAAACTTCTCACACTCACGTAGAGGTCGACACCCACCGTCATCCCTACTACTCCACCCCCATCGATCTCGCTGAACGTGAATACCGCCAGCGTTACCGCCCTGCCCAAGCCTTTTCCACTGAAGACCCTACTTCCCACTCTCACTCTCACTCTCACCACCAAACTCAAGACAACTTCCAAGCCAACAACTACACCGTTGAAGGCCGACCCGCTCCCCAATTCTATTCCTCCGAGAAGACTGAAATCAACAACTTCACTGTTGACGGACGCTCATCTCGCCCTCAGTACAACCACACCGAGAAGACCGAGTTTAACAACTTCACTGTTGACGGCCGTTCTTCCCGACCTCAATACACTTCTGAGAAGACTGAAATCAACAACTTCACCGTTGACGGCCGCTCTTCCCAGCCTCAGTACCGCGATACCAAGACAACTCAGGTCAACAACTTCACCGTTGACACACCTGTTGCTCGTCCATCTAACAAGAAGGACGTGAGATTCACTGAAGAAACCGTCGAAACTACCAAGGTCGACAACAAGTCCAAGATGGGTTACTACGACGACGACGGTTAGTGAATACCAATTCTTGAAGTAACAAGATCGCGAACAGTCCATGCTAACTTGTCAGAAGGTCAATACAACTCGTTCCGCGCCGGTGCTCACAAGCTCGGTGATCGCATCGCCCATGGAGGTCGTCGCGAGGTTGAGATTGACATCCACGAGGGTCCTCGTCCCTCTGCTGACTGCCTTCTCAACACCGTCAGCATCCCCTGCCACCACATCCGCCTGGGTGACTTCCTGATGCTCCAGGGCCGCCCCTGCCAGGTCATCCGCATCTCTACCTCCTCTGCCACCGGTCAGTACCGCTACCTTGGTGTCGATCTCTTCACCAAGCAGCTCCACGAGGAGTCCTCTTTCATCTCCAACCCTGCCCCCAGCGTTGTCGTTCAGTCCATGCTCGGCCCTGTCTTCAAGCAGTACCGTGTCCTCGACATGCAGGAGGGTCAGATCGTTGCCATGACCGAGACTGGTGACGTCAAGCAGGGTCTCCCTGTTATTGACCAGTCCAACCTCTACTCCCGCCTCAGCAGCGCTTTCGAGTCTGGCCGTGGCTCCGTCCGTGTCCTCGTCCTCAACGACGGTTCTCGTGAGCTCGCCGTTGACATGAAGGTCATCCACGGCTCTCGCCTGTAAGCGTGTTTACTGTTTTCTGAAGACGGGCAGCCGCTTGTAACGCGACTATTTCCCAACACCATAATGAGTTGATGAGCAGCACTACTGGGCCTACCTCACTCATGAGGAGTAGGTCCAGGCTGTCCTGAGAGTCACCTGTACAATGTCAAGTTTCGTGGGGATCTGTTGTATGTATCAAGATGGTTCAAGTTTGTTTGTGTCGAGATTGGATAAATCATGTTGGCTAGCTGGAAATATTGGAGTCTTTTGCGTAGATGGGAAAGTTCTGTACATGGACTGTAGTAATTGTCAATTGATTCCGCATCTACATAAAACTGAACGTTCGTGTCTCGCCGTGTCACTATCTGACTGACTGAACTGTTAAGGTTTAGGCATGGCAACTGAGCTCTCAAGGTTCCGTGAACTAACCACATACGGAAATATGCTGTCTGATACGCGGCCCAAACGTGCCGACGCTTCCAAGTCTATCGCTACCCTACATTTCAACTGCCGTACTCTGGCTTATTGTTTAGTGACGTTTTGGCTTTGTTCATTATTCTCCGGATTGGTGTTTCTGTTTATTATACGTAGGGAATATTTATTCAAGCTACGAGCGTCAATTTGTTCGTGATGCTTATCATGGCCATGATAGTTAAAAAGCGTCATGCGTGCTTAGAGCTCTTATCTATCATCAAGGTGTTTCCCCGCGCGAAGCTAACGCAATACAGAGCTGAGATGGATGGGTACACAGCCTGATAATCAATCACGCAAGCTCATGCTTGATGAGACAGCGCGTGACAAAACTCTGTCACAAGTTCTCCTTAAACCTTGATAGCACACAATTTCTCCTCCTACACATTCACTTCCACAAACTATCCACCACTTCTGCAATCTTGTGTATGAAAGTGACCATGGGTGCTCAGCCATCAAAGCCAACACTTCATGAGAAGGCTGTCATGGAGCGCCTTCGTAGTCTCCAACTCCAGGAGGATGATGAATACGTCGAAATTAGCAGCGACGCTGAGAAGCGCTCGGTCGGACCCTTGACTCGCGAGGCTCAATGTCTATCTGTCCATGTCCTCGAGTCCTGGCAGTCTGCCATTCTCAAAGATCCCAAGAACAAGTGAGATTTCCCGCTGTCAGAGCGTTCCTATCGAGGCTAACATTCACCAAGACTCGCACTCACGGCACTGAGCTCAGCAAACCCGAGACAGGTGCTCACTTCACTGCCGACCGAAATCGCCGACCAGCAAATCTATAATGTCAAGATCCCACTCGAAGGAGATCCGATCACGAACCAGCGCTCAAGCGGCCGCTGCTGGTTGTTTGCCTCCACAAACGTGTTCCGAGTCGCCATCATGAAGCGATATAATCTCGAGAGCTTTGAGCTCTCACAGCAGTATCTCTTCTTCTGGGACAAGCTTGAAAAAGCGAACTGGTTCCTGGAACAGATCATCGATACCGCGGGAGAGGATATCGAAGGACGTCTCGTTCAAACCTTACTGGGCGACATTGTTTCTGATGGTGGTCAGTGGGACATGGTCTATAACCTTGTCGAGAAGTATGGTCTAGTGCCACAGACCCTCTACCCTGATACATGGAATGCCCAGAGCTCCGGCATTCTTAATAGTGTTATCAAGACCAAGCTTCGTGAATTTGCACTCAAGCTACGGGGCCTGCTTAACTCTAAGAACGGCGTATCAGCTACCACACTCTCGTCGGCGAAGGACAAAATGCTTCGTGAGATCTCTCTCATCATGACTCTTCTCCTTGGGCCACCACCAAGCTCCGGAGAAACCTTCACTTGGCAGTATAACGACAAGAACGGCAAGTCACATCAGCTCAAGGCTACACCTAAAGAATTCGCCAAGAACATATATAGTTCCGATTTTCGCATCACTTCTAGCACCATCGAGAGTATGATCTCACTTGTGGACGACCCTCGGCACGAGCCGCTCTCTCTCCTCTCTGTTTCACGGCTTGGTAACATCGTGGGTGGACGTGGCGTGAGTTACGTCAACGTTGATATTGATACCCTCAAGGGAACATGCATAAAGATGCTCAAGGCTGGTCTGCCTATCTTCTTCGGTAGCGACGTGGGTAAGTTCTCTGACTCCAAGTCGGGCATCATGGACCTCGACCTCATCGACTACGAACTTGGCTTCAACACTAGCTTGCTCGGCATGAGCAAAGCACAGCGATTGACGACACAGGAGAGTCAGATGACCCACGCTATGGTGTTGACTGCAGTTCATCTGGACGAAGAGACGGGCAAGCCTGTCCGTTGGAGAGTGCAGAACAGTTGGGGCACTGCGGCTGGTGACAAAGGATGGTTTGTTATGAGTGATGCTTGGCTCGATGAGTTTGTTTATCAGGCTGTTGTAGACCCTCGCTTCTGTAGTAAGGAGGTTCGCGATGTGCTCAAGAAGGAAGCGATTGTTCTCCCACCATGGGATCCTATGGGCGCCCTGGCCTGAGCGAGCGTTCTTGTTTCGGATGCGAAGGTATTGCTGTGAGACGACATTGAGACTCCTTTTTATATCAGACCGATGCTTGCCGAGGGAATGAATATAATTTAACTACCCCCACAACGATCGTAGCACAACCGTGCTCCGTGAAACCTGTTATGGAATAATTCATGAGTCGGTTACCGGGCCCTGAAGTGATGGTATTTCCAAGTAAAGACAAGCTATATTGCCAGACAAGATGGCTCTTGGAGTATTAAGGAAAATAGTACGATGGTACTTCTGTTATAATCCAGTGCCAGCATCCCTTTTATGGCACCCTGATCATAATCTACTCAGCATTGGAGTGTGCCTGAGATCAGAACTCATGCTTGCTTGTGATCTCTCCACGAGAAGACGGCCGGCCGTGTCACGCACAACCCGGATATTCTGCAATTGTTTCACAGGTTGTGTATCTTCAGAGGCAGTCTCCATCTGTGGTTAACTTCGTTTCAGTACGAGAAGCCTCGTTGCGAGATGGTCTGGCAGGCATTGGGAGTTAATAGCGCTGGGGAAGCTAATAGTCTCGAGAAAGCCCTGAGCTTCCGGAGGCAAGTTAGTTTCAGGAAAGGTCTTCTCTCGAGAAGCTTGTAGATGTCTTCTCACTCCAAAGCATTTTCTTGAACACGTTCACCTTCCCTGGCCCTTTTCCTCCTATAAAGTCCTGTAGTTTTAGTTAAGTGCTTGTTCTCAGCAGTATTCGAGTTCCAAATATTGACTGTGTTTGGATGGCCCTTGACAGTCTGTCCAATAGAAGACACTGCCGTAGATAAATCCCTGAGCTCAGCTGGCTCGGTTTGGCTGTGGTATGAACTTGAACGGCTGCGATATAGATATGTTGTGTGAGTAGTAGGACCCCTCTACCGTTACACGATTAGGAGTAAGAAAACACATCGGCCATCAGGAAAGCTCTGAGGTCCCGGATTGAAGAGGCAGGGTCGAGTTTTGGTTTCAGTAGTGCAGATATTGATGAGCCAGATGAATGGTCTCAGTTCTCGATTACTCATATTTGAAGGTACAATACTCTTACATAACACAGCTGTCGAGAGGCTATATGTCCCGGTTTGCTAGTATTCTTAGAAAGGAGGACACTATAAAAATGCACTGAGGAAATAACTTTGATACTAATAGGAGGAATGTCAAGCTTTTCTTATTGAAGGCTACCCCTACGTAACAACTCTCCCAAGTACTGGGACTAGCAACTGATGATTGAGGCAGTTATACATAAATAAATTCATGTTTTATTCGCATTGAACCAAAAATGAAAACAGTTCAAGCAAGGGTTGTCACCTCATGTGTAGAAATGTGGCTGATCTTCACCTACCAAAGAGTCTGTAATATAAGACGGCAGTAGATCATCGGAATTGCCTCGAACTGGCCTAGCCAAGTTGTATAAATAATGTTTCCTCGATCGTTGAGTGTGAAATAGCCATTCGATTATAAGATATCGCCATGAATCTGTGTGACGCAACGCTGCTGTCACGTACTACGAGAGGCTTTGTTTCGGTGTTACCACATTAAGATATCGGGGTATGCGTCTAACAATATGCTGCTGAACCAAATTACCCCAAAACGGAAGGCCCCCGTTATCGAGATAACGAATCAATCAGGCCCTATATTTCGTACAGCAGCTGTGGCACGCATAGCAGCTATGCGTGCCACAGCAGCAGAGCAGGTGGTTATGACTTGAGAGTATTAGGTTCTGGTTAAATGATTAATATGGCTAAGAGCATGTATCTACGGAAGTTAACGGGATTTCATGAAGGTGACCTTGATGCGATACCGGTACTAACACTGGTAGGGCTGTGTGACGATGAGTCAGCCAAATAGAATTTTTCTTTTTTTCTTTTTTAGTTATACATTGCTCGCTTCGCCTAGATGCTTGCAAGGTCCCTTGTCCCTCTGCCCAGTATAACCAGACTTACAATCATTTCGCCTGAAGATTTGACCAGAAAACTCTTCCAAAAATGAGCGAAACACTTGACGCGGCGCCGCCGCATGCTACCTTCGATGTAAGGGCTAGAAATTCTGAAATTTCGACGTAGGACTAGTACTGACCATTGCTATCAAGACCGTCCTCGTCTTGGATCTAGGATCCCAGACCAGTCATGTTTGTTCTCTACTCCTGCTATGTGGGTGATAAGAACTAATTAAACAAAGCTCATCTTGAGACGTCTGCGATCTATTGGAGTTTACTCTGAGATGCTGCCATGTACTCAGAAGCTCAAAGATCTTTCCTGGAAACCCGTTGGAATCATCCTTAGCGGAGGTCCGTCAAGCGTGTATTCTCCCGATGCACCAAACGTGGATCCGCTCGTGTTCGAGCTCGGTGTTCCCGTGTTGTACGTTGAAAGCCAAAATAAGGATGGACAGGCTGCTAATGTGTTATAAAGGGGAGTTTGCTATGGCTGTCAACTAATTGGTATTATACCCCCTAGATATGTCTGAGTGATTATTGACTAACGGTTGTTCCAGCATGGCGAGTAAACCCAAACAATGTGGCACCTGGCGTGGCCCGTGAATACGGAGAGACTTCGATGGCCATTCGTAAGGTCGGTAACCATGCTGACCGTCTCTTCGAGGGATTGGGCGACTCTTTGAATGGTTCGTTATTCAGACCTTGTTCGTCTAGGCTTGGCTCGGTGATTTCTAATGTTCTCTGACTACAGTTGTGATGAGTCACTTTGACAAGCTTGTTGATCTACCCGCTGGTTTCAAGACCATTGCCACCACCAAGAACAGCGAGTTTGCTGGCATTGCCCACGACTCTCAGCCCGTCTTCGGTATGTGTGTCTTATCGAAGCTGTCGCCAAGCTTCGCTAATAAGTATGATTGACAGGCATCCAATTCCACCCTGAGATCTCTCATACAGAGCGGGGAACTGACATCATCGCCAACTTCGCTCTCAAGATCTGTGGTGCCCGAGCGGACTGGAAGATGGACAACTTCTCAGAGCGAGAAATTGTTCGAATTCGAAAGCTGGTTGGCGATAAAGCACAAGTTGTATGTGTTCCCATCTTGCCCAACGTCCTATATCAACTTACTAATTACTTCGCAGATTGGAGCTGTTTCCGGAGGTGTTGATAGCACTGTGGCGTATGATACCCAGGTCAAAGCTCTCTATCGGACATCGTTTTACTGACGCCTCACAGGGCAAAATTATTGACGGAAGCAATTGGAGACCGCTTCAAGAGCATTCTAGTGGACACTGGTGAGATCTTGTTGCTTGGCAAATTATTTGCGGCCTAAGAGCAATGTTCTAATGTGCTTTAGGTCTGATGCGTCTGAATGAATGCGAACAGGTCAAGGAAACCCTAGACAAGCACCTGGGCATTAACTTGACTGTTGTGGACGGATCTGATCTCTTCTTCAGCCGTCTTGCAGGAGTCACGGAGCCAGAAGCCAAGAGGAAGATTATCGGCGAGACTTGTGAGACTCACCCCTGAAAGCCGACCAGCCTACCATGCTGACCCAAGACAAAGTCATCGATCTTTTTGAAATTGAGGCACTCCGGTAAGCATATGCTTGTCCTCTTCTAAACCGTGGATGACTAACTAACCTTCTTTTTTTTAAACAGTATCGAGAAGGAAGCAGAAAATACATCATTTGCCGGAAAGGTTGAATGGTTCCTTCAGGGAACACTATATGGTCAGTTATTAACTTTTCCTACCAAGAATCGAAAATACTAACACGATATAGCGGACATTGTGGAAAGTTTGAGTTTCAAGGGAGCCGCCAGTTCCACTATCAAATGTAAGTCTCCCCGTTGTACATTTCTCGTGCTGTTGTTGGTGTAGCGAGAAGGGAAAATACGCATGCGCTTTGTACACCAAGGCAAACCCTCAGCCCCGACTTCTGAAGCACCTCGAGAATACCGTTGCAGACACTGACAATTGCATAGCTCACCATAATGCGGGAGGACTTCCTGCTCGCATGCAAAACGGCGTAAGTTGCACCCAATTTTCCATGGTCTAATGGTAACATACTGATAAACAACAGGAGGCACACCTCAAGCTCCTCGAGCCGCTCCGAGAACTGTACGTGATTAGCTTGAATACGAGACTAATGAGAGGGCCATTACCTGTCACGGTTACTAACAATGCCTAGTTTCAAAGATGAAGTGCGGGCTTTCGGACGCCAACTGCAGATTCACGAGGAGCTCATTGGGAGACATCCTTTCCCTGGCCCTGGTTTGGGTATCAGAATCATCGGCGAAGTCACCCGCGAACGCGTCGAAATTGTGCGCAAGGCGGATCACATCTTCATCTCCATGATCCGCGAGGCTGGAATTTATGACGAGGTTCGACGCGACCACCCCTTACCTAGGAGAAATCTTACTAATCGATTTGTCAGGTCACCCAAGCCTACGCCGCGCTTGACACAAACAGAGGTAACCCCTTTTCTTCCATTTAACGAATATGTATCGATATCTGACTTGCATTCGTCAACAGCCGTCGGTGTGCAGGGTGATGCCAGAGCGTATGGCTACATCTGCGTTCTGCGAGCCGTGACCAGCTTGGACATGATGAGTGCCGAGCCCTACGAGTTCGAGTGGAGTCTTCTCAAGGCTATTAGCAGACGCATTGTGAACGAAGTCGACGGCATCGCGAGGGTGGTATACGACACCACGTCTAAGCCTCCAGGTGAGAGCCTCTTGTATGCTTCTCCTTCGCATGCTTGTGATATTAACAGACCGACAGGAACGATTGAATTGGAGTGATATTGCTCCCAGATCGAGTCCAAAGAAGATTTTCCCAGGCTGCCCTTTCAGCGCAGACCTGAGGTGGCGTTTAGATGGATGGATTAGATTTGACGAATAAAGGGATAGGTGTCTTCGCTGCGGATCTGCGAAATAGGAGGTTACAACTCGACTCGACGCCATAGCGGCTCTGCAATGGAAGTCAGCCCAGGCTAAGCGACGGGACACATTACCTCCGAGTCTCGACCAAGTATAGCACTTGCCTCACGTAATC